ACAATGGGGGGGACGGGCTGTTCTCACCGTGGATCGCCTCACACACCGTATTCTGCTTGCCGTGCAGAAATATTTCCCCACGGAGCAACGTATGGCGGGCATCTCTCCCTGTTTGTTATTTTTAACCGCTCCACTGTACAGACGTTTGTGAGTTATGATTTTTAAGGGAAGCAATGCATGCACATGGTGAGAAAACAATAAATAAAAATCAGGCAGCACAGAATGAGGAACAACGAAAAAGCAGAATGCTCTGTCTTCTGTCCCCAGCCTTCCCCAGAGGAGCTTGACCATTTATTTTTGTTTTATTAGTAATGGACCTGATTCTTAGGATGGTTTTAGATTTAGGGGAAAACTGAGCAGATAGAACAGAGGTCCCCATGCCTCCTCCCCCGCCCAAAGTTTCTCGTTAGTAGCAGCTTGCATTAGGGTGGCACGTTTATTACAACTAATGAGCCGACACTGATATTCTTAATGTTAATGAAAGTGTACGTTAAGATCCCTCTGGGCGCCGTTCAGCTCTGTGGGCTCTGACAGCCGCGTCGTGCTGTGTGTCCAGCATCACAGGGTTTCAGAATCGGCCCACCGCCCTGAAGACCCCTGCAACCCTTGAGTGGTGCTCGTCGTTACCGTAAATACGGCCCTTAGACCCTCTGCATCCCGAGACGCGCCATCGTTTCCACCTCCCCGTCTTTGTCAGTCGCGCTGCCATTTCTTTCACTCCTTCGGCCTCTAGTTCCTGAGTCCTGCTGTGCACGGGGCGCATTCCAGGTGCTGAGCCCAGGAGGGGAACAGAGAGGGAACAGAGAACTCCCCCGCAGAGCCTCCATGCGGAGGAGGAGACAGAGGGAAATCAGCACAAGACAGAGCTGCAGACGCTGACGTGGGCCCGAGAGACAGTCGAGCAGGGAAGGGGGTACGGTGTGTGTCTCTGCGTGAGTGTGACTGTGTCTGTGTGTATCTGTGTGACTGTATCTGAGTGTGACGTGTGTGTCTTTGTGTCTATATGTGTGTATCTGTGAGTGTGAGTGTGTCTACACGTGTGTGTGCACCTGTGGAGCGAGGGTTGCGGTCTTAAGCAGAGCGGTGGGGGAAGAGATCCCTGAGAATGTGGCATCGGAACAGCAAGCGAAGTGAGGCGAGGACACGAGCCAGTGATGCTCTGCGGGGAGGTCCAGGCAGAGGGCACAGCAGGTGCAAAGGCCCTGAGGAAGCAAGGAGAGTGGACAGGCAGTGAGGGAAGGAAGGCGTCCGCCTTGCAGGACCACAGGCTGCCTCCCTGACCGGGGCTTTCCTTAGAGAGATGGGAAGGCTCTGGGGCTGGAAGCCAAGGAGTGACACCATCTTATTTCCGTTTTAAAATTATTACATTCTATTTGGTAAGTAAGGTGACATCCAATGCCTTTTCTATAGATTGAGTCTAGCAATTAATGACCGCTAAACAAGTTTATAATAAGATTGAGTAAATATTGTAGCAAACAGAAGACAGTCCTTTTCGTCTCTGTCCCTTTTCTCGCCTATCCCCCTCATTCCCATCCTTCCTGCGCACGGTCCTGCGTAGCCGCCCAGCGTGGGTCCAGGGCTCCCTCCTCCCCCAGGGTGGCTCAGAGCTGGCGAGAGCGTTCCCATCCCAGCCCACTGGTCCCAGGGCCAGTTTGTATCTAGCCCGTTCCAGCCGGACTCCCTCGGGGCGGGTGGAGCGGGGAGCCCACGTGCCCCACGGGGGCTCCGCCGCAGCTGCGTCCTTGGGCGGTGGAGGGTACCCCGCAGGGAGGGAGCAGCACTGCCCCCTGCGCCCGGCTCCCGAATGCTGCCTGGTCCTCCCGAGGGCCCGAGTCCTCCAAGCTGGGCTGAGCCTCTCCCAGATGGAGCTACCAGGCCAGACGCCAATCCTGGGGCAAGGTTTAGAGTGAGTCACCTCTCCTCGTCCCAGGCGGTCATGAGACGGGAGGAGAGGTTCCCAGTTTCTGAGGACCCACGCAGGCCACTGGGGAGACGTGGCGCTGGGACCCCGATGTTTAATTGATGAAGACCCTTCCTGCTGAACCTCTTCCTGTGGCCTCCTCTGGACCCACTCACTCCTGCCGGCCAATGTTCCTGTCTTTTTTCATCCTTTCTTCTGTGTCCAAAAGCCTGGTACCCCTCTACCCAGTAAGCTGAAGAGGAAAGTGTGGGTGGCTGGGTCATGTCTAAAAGGAACCGTGTGTGCTCAGATAATTATGCAGAGGTGGTGTGGGATCATCAAAAGGTCCTAGGTCTTCTTTGCTCCCACGCGTTCTCATCCCAGCTTGGCCATGTGTGAAGCTGTGTGACTTCATCTAGGTTGCTTGACCTCTCTGATCTCATTTTCCTCATCAGTAAAATGAGCACAAGAATAATACTACCTATCTGTCATGAGAATCAAAAAGGTGAGAAGTCTCCCTAAACGTTAAAAGCCCGTACACAGTCAGTTAACCTGGAACTGGAGAGAGCATCGATGAGACCCGGGCCCAGCACAGGGAGGGGAGGACGTGAGAGATAAAACAGTCAGGAGCAGTGGCTGGTCTAGAGCTCTGCGTCCACAGTGACAGAACTCCGGATCAGGGCAGGACTATGTCAGGCTGGTGCATCCGGAGACTCTGGTGGAGGGTTGGGGTGGGGGCTGGAGAGAGGAGCCTTGGAGGGCACGGCTGGCGGACAGGAGGGGAGCTTGGGGGTCCCTAAGGCAGGGCTGCGGGCTCCTCGAGCTCCCTCCGCCTGGCCCTAGGCCGCAGCAGACACCTGTTTGAGCTGCTTCTCTTCTCTCGTGGTGCCGTCCGCTGCCTCTCTAGGAGGGCGTCTCGGGTGATGACGTGATGACAGAGTCAGCTGCCCACGTGTGCAGGTGCTTCTGTGGCGGCGCGGGGCTCAAGAGCTGTGCGTGCAAACCGACAGCGCCCTCCCCACCTCCTGACACGGGTGCTGCCAGGATGGCCCTCCTCCCTCCACTGGATGGAGCTCCCCCCACACTGGACAGAGCTCAGGTGCCTGTTAGGCTCTGCAGCGGTGGGCGAGGAGATGGAAACCAGGGGTGTGGACACAGAGAGTCATTATTACACATCAAAAATTATGCTCGGGGCCGCTCCGTGGCCGAGTGGTTGAGTTCACGCTCTCTGCTTCGGTGGCCCAGGGTTTCACCGGTTCGGGTCCTGGGTACGGACATGGCACCACTCATCAAGCCATGCTGAGGCGGCGTCCCACATGCCACAACCAGAAGGACCCACAACTAAAATGTACAACTATGTACTGGGGGGCTTCAGGGAGAAGAAAAAAAAAGATTGGCAACAGATGTTAGCTCAGGTGCCAATCTTTAAAAAAAAAATTATTCCCATAATCATCTATTGCTAGTATGTCAATGAACAGGCCTGGGGGAGCTGACCAAGGCGGGGCACATGAGGACCAGGAGAGCCGTGGTCCAGCGCCTGGCCTGGTCTTGTCCCCGTCTTCCCCCAAAGGTGAGAGAAGTGGGGGAGGGGAGAAATGCCATTTACTGAGTCTCAGCGTTGCCAGGCTCTGTGCTGGGTCTTTCCCGGATGTCATCTACCTTGCTCGTCACACCTCTGTGAGATGAGAGCGGATTCATGGTCCCTTCTGACAGACAGAAACTCGAAGGAGGATGAGGAGGTGGGCAGGACACAGCGACCGTGGGGCAAGAGCCGAGGTTTGGACCCTGCTCTGCAAAGCTCATAAGACTCTTTCACGGAAAAGGGAGGGAAGCAGCCCTCACCCTCCCCACCCCCCCAGCCCAGGATGCAGGGGGAGAAGTCCTTCCCTTAGGAGGGGAGGGGAGCAGCAGGCCTGGGGCCGACTCCACCTGGTGTGGCCCGTCCACGCGGGTGAGGATGGGCCCCTCCAAGTGTGTGCACTGAAGAGGACTCCAGGCATGACATCCTCAGGTCCCCGTGGGGCCCCTCCTCCACCACAGGGAGGACCAGTGACCTCAGGCTCCTCTCTCCTTGGTTCCTTGGCACTGGACTCTGTCTACACGGCTCCCCTGGGGGAGTAGGGCGGGTGGGTGGTCCCAGCAGAGACAGCCGTGGGCAGCCTCTCCTGGGCCCTGCATGGAGAGATGTGCCCAGGTCGGAGGAACTCAACACAGGCTCGATTCCCTTTCCCTCCAAACACCAGGATCTTCCTCATTTTTCTTAAAAAATTTTTTTTTTAAGATTGGCACCTGAGCTAACAACTGTTGCCAATCTTCTTTCTTTCTTTCTTTCTTTTTTCCTGCATCTTTTTCTCCCCAAATCCCCCCAGTACATAGTTGTACATTTTTAGTTGTGGGTCCTTCTAGTTGTGGCATGTGGGACGCCGCCTCAACATGGCCTAGTGGGCGGTGCCATGTCCGCGCCCTGGATCCGAACCCTGGGCCGGCGAAGTGGAGAGGGCGAACTTAACCACTCGGCTACGGGGCGGGCCCCTCATTTTTCTGATTGCTCCATGCCAAGGGGGAGCTGGCCACCTAGGAGAGGGGGCAGAGGCTGGGGGGCCAGGACTCCCGGGCCTGGGAAGCATCCAGCAGATGTCTGACGCCCACATGCAAGTCCCAACCGGTGCCATGGCGCAGCCCGCTGCCGCGCAAGCCCTCCCGATCCCCCTCCCGCCCCAAGCAGCGCCCCCTTCCCTTTCGTCCCCGCTCTCTCCTCCAGGTGCGAGGCCTAGACGAGCTCTGGTTCCCAGAAGCGGCAGGCTGCTGGGTGAGCAGCGCCCCCTCGGTCCCAGCCCTCCCCTGCCTGGGCGGGGGCGCGGCGCCGAGAGGAGGGGAGGAGGGGAGAGGAGGGGCGGGAGGGCGCGGAGGGGCGGGCGGGCCGGGGCCGGGATGCGCGGCGGGCGGCGCAGGAGGCGGGCGCGGAACGTGTAAGGGCATGTCCCGCGAGCGGCCGCCCAGCGCGCAGACGGAGCCCAGGGGCGCGAGCGGGCAGCCGGGCTCTCGGGCCGGGAAGCCGCGGGGGCACCGGGCAGCGGCGGGGCGGGGCGGGGCGGGGCGGAGGAGCCGCGGGCGCAGCGGGCAGCGGGGTCCGGAGGACGGCGGGCGCGGGGCCAGGGCGCACGGCCAGCCAGCCCCGGTCGCCGGCGTCGGGCGCCGCAGAGCCGGGAGGGGCGCCGCGCCCGCCGCAGCCTGCAGCCTTCCCGGGGTCCGGGGGCGCCCATGACGGCGGCGGCGACGGTGCTGCGCGAGGGCGTGCTGGAGAAGCGCAGCGGCGGGCTGCTGCAGCTGTGGAAGCGGAAGCGCTGCGTGCTCACCGAGCGCGGGCTGCAGCTCTTCGAGCCCAAGGGCGCGGGCGGCCGGCCCAAGGAGCTCAGCTTCGCGCGCATCAAGGCCGTGGAGTGCGTGGAGAGCACCGGGCGCCACATCTACTTCACGCTGGTGACCGAGGGCGGCGGCGAGATCGACTTCCGCTGCCCCCTCGAGGATCCTGGCTGGAACGCCCAGATCACCCTGGGCCTGGTCAAGTTCAAGAACCAGCAGGCCATCCAGACCGTGCGCGCTCGGCAGAGCCTCGGGGCCGGGACCCTCGTGTCCTGAACGGCCCGGCTTGCCATCTGCCTACGTGCGCCCCACCGACGCGGCGAGCAGAGGTCATGTCAGGTGAGCCCCCAGGGACTGAGTCCTCTCTCCTGCCCTACAGGGAATGGGGTCCCCCACCGGCACCCCACCTCAAAGCTGGACCATCCTAAGGCCAACAGCCAGCAGGAGCTCAAGATCCTGGTCCTGGGCGGCCTTTCCGCTGGGGCACCAGGCAGGCGGGTCCTGAAGGTGACCCTGGAGTCTAAGAGGCCGGTGGGCGGCAGGAGCCTTCCCACAGGTTGGTTCTGCCCTGACTTAGGTGGAGGGAGGCTGGCCCACACGTCGCCTCACCTGCTGGGGCTCTGCCCGCACCCGGGGCAGGGCTCCAGGGCTGTGGCCTTCCGGGAGCTGGGAGACCGGAAGGTGGGATGAGCCGAAGTTCCTCCCCTCCTGCCGGGATGAAGCACGGAATGAGGCAGAAACACAGTCTCCCTCTGTTAGCGGAGTCGTCAAGGGTTAGGAACAGAACCAGGGAGCCCAGGCCTCTGCTCCCCACTCTTGACAGTGGCTTTGGGGTCCTAAGGCTGAGCTGTTGGGAGACCAGGGGTGTTGGAGGGTGGGCAGGCCAGGCCACTGATGCCCCGGGGTGTGGGCCTGTCCACCTGACCGTGAGTGGCAGCCAATGCTGGGCTGGGCCAGAGGAGGAGAAGCCAGAGGAGGAGAAGCCAGAGGAGGAGAAGCCGGCGGAGGGGGTGGGGTGCGGGGGCAGGGTGGGTGGGTGGGTGCAGGATGGGGTCATGGCTTGTTATTTGGAAGTCTTGATCCTCTTTGAGCAGTGGGGCAGCCGGTGAGGGCGGATTTGTGGTCAGGAAGGCCCAGGGCAGGGACCAGGAATAGCCTAGAAGCCCTGGCTGCCAGCCCTGTGCCCTGTTCCCCAGATGCCACTGCCTCCCCGTGAGAATTAGGAGCCGGGCTGAGGAAGGGTTTATACCACTCTGGTTCTGTTTTCTCCTCTGAAAACCTACAACCCCTGTGCCCCCACTACCACCTCCCACGCTCCCTGCTGCTCCCTACCCTGCGGCTTCTCCACCTTAACAGTAGAGTCCGGGTGACACCCTTTGAGCCTCCTGTTAACTCCCCTCACGGGGCAGTGGGGGCAGTGGGGGGGTTAGCCTAGAGCCTGGGCGAAGGCGGACCTACAGGCCTGGGGGGCTGGGAGGAAGCAGCGTCCTCCGTGGATTGCAGCGTGTTGTGCAAACACTAGTTTCTGTGTGTGTTCCGATGTGGGTGGGGAGCGCTGGTGTAGGACTGCTCGTGGTGGGTGCTCGGCACCTGGGGTCCACCCTGACCTGACTGCTCTTCTTTCCTGTCAGCTTCCCTGCTCTTTGGGCTCAGCGGGGCGCGACTGTGCTGCCCCAGGCAAGGCCGAGCCGTGGATTTGTGGAGGAGGCACTGGAGCTGAAGGAATGGATGGGCCCAGGAGGAGGGCAGCAGGCCACACGGGGCTGAGGATGAAGTTTCAGCCCCTGAACGCTCTGAGACTCGCAGGACATACGTGACTCATACATCAGGATGCACAGCCGGCAGCGCAGCCCCTGCCCCAGGGCCCTGCCATCTGCTCTGCAGACTGCTTTTAGTCCTTGCTTGGTGCCATGCCTGGAGGAGGGTGGTCCCCCCGGGGCGCCAAGCCACCACCTCGGGACTCGGGAGGCCAGCCTGGTACCCAGAGGAGGAACTGCCTTGGCGTCGCCTCTGGACTCACTTTGGGGGGTTGGGGTGGGGGGCTGATGGGTCTGTGGCCCACCTTTCGGGGGGGGTCTCCTGCTGCTTAGGTCCTTTTGGGACCCCCACCCATCCAGGCCCTCTCTTTGCACACTGCTTCCCTCCTGCCCGTCTTCGGCCCACTGCGGTGCTAGGCCTGGAGTGGGTGGGGGTGGGGGTGGGGGTTTGGCCATTAGCATTTCATGCCCATCCCCAAATGAAGATGCCCTGCCCAGGGCAGTGATCACACTGTTTGCTGAGTAAAATTCTTTGCCCACAAAGACTCTGTGCCTGGAGCATCTCTCCCCACCCCCACTTTCCCAATCAACCCACTGCCCATTCTGAAGTCTCCAGCCTGGGTGGGGGAGACACTGCCACTCCCACAGACATGGCTCCGTGGTCCTCGGAAGAGGGACCATAAGGCCCAGGCTGCAGGATGTTACCGCAGCCGACTCGGCCTCCACAGATGTCTGTTCTCCAGGAGGATGCCTGACCCTGCTATCCATGGAGGCGGCTCTGCTGTCCCCCTGTCGTTTATGCACTCTGGCTCTCTGCATGAACACCGTAAATCTTCCCTTACTGGATGGCTTGCAAGGAATAATTCCGGCATGGAGGAAACCGGTGCAGAGAAACAGCTGCCGTGAGTCCTACAGAAACGATAAGTCGGTAACACCCAAGGCCTCTCGTGTCCGCCTAGGCCTGGCCTTCCCTGTGGCAGAGCAGTGGCCTGCTTCCAAGTCTGGAAGAAGCCAGGAGGCCGAGTGGCCCCTTCGGCTATTTGAAGTCTCTTTAGTAACCACTTTGTGTTTGGTTCCCCGTTGAATTTCTCCTGCTGTGCAATCCAGACCTCTCTCCTGTCGCAGTGCTCAGAGCTCTCAGGAGCATCTCGCTTGTCTGACATATAAACCGCATCTCGCCACTGAATAAGAATTTACGCATGACCAAGGCATGTTTACAGATCCCTCATTTGTTAGCTCCTTAGGCTGGACACCTGTCCTGCCATAGCTTCACCCCAGCCTGGCAGATAGCATCCTTTTCTGTGGCAGGCCTGATCAGTGCTGAGAAAGACGTGGGGTCGACTAGAGTGCTGTGATCACTTGGTGATGTCTGCCACGGGCTTTGGGAGGAAGGGGGAAAGCTTGGCAGCACTTACATGGGGTCGGAGGGTGGAGAGAAATGGTGTCTGCCACCCCGTCCTCGATCCCAGCTTCCAGAATGGGGAAGGGTTAGCTCCTCCATCCTGCTAGAAAACAGCAGCCTCAAAAGTACAATCCTTGAGGCCGGTCCTATGGCCGAGTGGTTAAGTTCCCACGCTCTGCTTTGGCAGCTCGGGGTTCACCAGTCCAGATAGACACCATTCATCAGGCCATGCTGAGGCAGCGTCCCACATAGAGGAAAAAGAATGACCTACAACCAGGATGTACAACTATGTACTGGGGCTTTGGGGAGGAAATTGAAAGAGGAAGATTGGCAACAGATGTTAGCTCAGGGCCAATCTTCCTCACACATATACAAAAAATGCATTTAAAAAAAAACAGAATCCTTGCTCTTTCAGTCAAACCCAAAGGTCAGGTGGTGGGGATTCAGGCATAAAGAAAGAAAAGAGGTGTCCAGGCCATCAGAAATGGGAGAATGCTTGTGAACAGTTGGGATGGGGAGGCACCCTCCTTCAGCTAACGCCAAATGCCCCTGACGGGCCAGGCCTGCTTGGCACTGTGGATGTGGAGGCAAAGAGGCAGGATCTGCTCGTTGCACCCAGGAGTCCAGAGTCTGGTGGAGACAGAGCAGGCTGGGGCCGCAAGGCACTCCGCCACCGCCCAGCGCTGTGTCGGCCTCCACAGAGCTTGGAGGGCGCCTCCCCCTTGGAGGGAACGTGGCTGCAAAGGGCAGCCGGGGTGCGGCCTGCGTGGGTGGCAAGGGCAGGGGGCACCCGCAGGGAGGAGGGGAGCGGCTGCCCGCTTTCTTGGAACACCCAGCCCTGTGGGCTCCAGGGCTGCTCCCGTTCCTGCCCAAACCCGGCTTCAGTTTCTCCCTCTGCTGGGAGAGCCCAGCCCCTCTGAAGACTGTGCTGCTGTTAGAGCCCCTGGCACAGACCCTGGCCTGTTGCAGGCCCTCAGGACATTAATCCAGGCGCTGGCGGTGCTGGTGGTTGCGATGGAGATGGTCATTTGCTGCCTTGGTGAGAGCCCCGCAGCTTCCTGGAGTGTCCAGGAGCTCAGCGCAGATCTGGGGCTCACATGCCCCACTGTTTTTTTTTTTTCCTTTTTTTAAAGCCGTGTGACCTCTCTGGGGAGTCTACTGGGGAAGGAGACACCTGCTTCTGGGCTCAGGGGTGTCCTCGCTGCTCCGGCATCTCTGAACTCTAGGAAGGAGCGTGGGCGCTCATGCTGGGAAGGCTTGGCTGGACCACGCAGAGGGTCAAGGCCTCTTGGGGGCGCAGACAGGCCCTGGCAGTGCCAGCAGATGTGCGTGAGATTGAACAACTTCGCTCTGTTGGGCCTGAGGATGCTGCAAGGCAGGGAGGGGCGCTGTCTCTCCTCTGGCCTGGCCTCACCCCCGTCCCCTACGTGAGTCACCGATGGGAAAATGAGCCGGGCAAGTCTGAGCCCAGCAACTGGGAGTCATGAGGCTGGGGCAGGGAGGCTGAGGGGGCAGGATGGGCTCGTCCTGGTCCGAGCAAGCAGGGCTGGGAGCTGAGGCTTTGGCAAGGGCGAGCCTGTTGCAAGAGACGAGGGCAGAGAGGCGGAATGAGAGTCCATGAGCTGAGATTGCAGCAGGACGGAGTGAGGGCAGATGGGCAGGGCAGGGCGGTGTGAACCCTAAAGTCTGGCTTTCCCCAGGAGGAGGGGATGGATAGGTGCCTCGGGTGGCTGTCCCACCAGGGCCAGGCCCAGGGACCCTGGCCGGACTGTTTCACCGTGTGCCAGGCTGCTGTCGGGCTGCTCAGGGGGCTCTGGTCTGGCCGCCTCCATCTCGCTGTGGTCTGCGTGGGCAACCAGAGTTCGGTCCAGAATGCAATCCGGTCTCTTGCTTACACCCTCCGGGGCTTCCCTTACGCAGCAGGAGGGTGTCGCCCCCCACACCAGGCTCTTGTGCCAGGGTCTGTCTCTGCAGTCCCCACGCCCAGCCCTACGTGCAAACCATCCCCTTCCGGCCTGGCAAAGGCTGACCTGCCCGCCCCGGCCTTCACTCCCCCCGCTCCTGCACGTGTTTGTCTCTCTGGCTCACACCCTCGGAGGAGCCCCCGCTCTGCCCACTGTCCACGCGCTGAGCAGCTGGTCTGTCCTCGGCAGCTCCAGCTCGTCTGTTGCTCCCACTTCTCCGCGGCTGCGGGCCTCCTCGTCCGCCTGTCCCACTAGATGCCCAGCTCCTGCCGTGTGTAATTCCTGCCGCCTCTAAGTATCTGGCACACAGTCGGTTCTTAATAATGGCAAATGGTCTATAGTGCTTACTCTGTGCTGGGCATTGATCCAGGAACCATATGCTTACTGAATCCGGTAATGCCCCAACAACTCTGTGAGGGAGGCGCTGTTATTGTAACTCCCGGGGTTTACATTAAGAAATTCAGGCCCAGAGAGGTTAAGTGACTTATTAAGAGTCACACAGCAGCTCGTAAGTGGTGGAGCCAGGATTCAAGTCTGTCAGCGGGACTCCAGGCAGGTGCTGTTAACCTGAAATCAGCGATTAGTCCTTATTGAATGTGTGAATGAGTGAATGAATGAATGAACTCACTTTTTCTCTGGGAGACAGCTCGGAGGCCAGACAGCCAGAGGAGCAGGGACCACGTGATGGCAGAGAAGGGAACCGTCTGTGGACTGGGGAGTGGAGGAGGTTTCCTGGAGGAGGTGACTGCAGCCAGTCCTTGAAGCGAGAGTGGGTCTGACTCCAGGAAGGGACACAGCGGGGTGTCCTGTGGGTTGGGAGGGTCTGTACCCGCCCCAGGAGCAAGGCTCCGGGCAGGACTCGCCTGGAAGAACGGAGGGATCCCAGGGAGGGAAGGGCCGTGAGAACTCGAGGAACAAATATGTTACAGGCTCACAATGCCCAGCCCATGTTGGCCCCAGATGCTGTTTGTCTCATGACCTGGGTGTGGGGCCGCCCCTCCTGCAGGGACGAGGGCTGTGGGCTCAGCAGATGTGACCCTGTGTGGCGGCAGCCCTGGTCCCAGAGGCCCACAGCTGGGGCTCACCCCCCGCCAGGGAGACCGACCATCCCAGTTTGCCTGGGACCCTCCTAGTTCTAGCACCAAAAACTGTGTCCCGAGAAGCCCTAGTCCTGGGCCATCTGGGACAGCCAGTCACCCTGCCCGCTGCCCCCGTCCCCAGGGTCAGGAAGCCTCGCCTCGCCCACCCTCTAGATCTCACCCATCAGCTCTGCCTGGGGCACGCGGCCCTGCTGAAGAGTCCGAGCCCGTGAGCAGCAGGTCCATGGCCCACGGCCTCACCCACCCCGACTCAGGCTCCAGCCGTTCCCTGCCATCCTCAGAGAAGATAGCAGGCCCCCCGCTGCGGGCGGGAAGGAGAGCCAGGTGTCCTCAGGGGCCCCCATCAGCTCGGCCTCTGCAGGAGCCCAAAGCAAAGTGATTCCATTCGGCTTACCCGCAGCCGCTTGTCAAATACCTGGTGTCTGCGTCATGGAGACAGAGCTGTCTCACCTGCCAAGGTGATGGAGACAGAGAGGGCGGCAGGGGCAGAGAGGGGCGGAAGGTGGGGCCGGAGCCAGGAGGGGCAGCCAGGGACCATCGAGGTGGTCCTTCAGAGAGGGGATAGGATCTGACTGTCAGAGCAGGATGGCACCAGGGAAGAAATTATGTTCCAGGAAACAAACAGGTTTGCCCAGAACTGGGGGTGCGACAGCTGAGCACGGGGAGGCGGGCAGACAGGGAGCCCACGTGCACCGGCCAGGGGTCTGTGCTTTTTCGTGGGCAGTGGGGGAGCCGTCATGAGGCTTCTGTTCCTAACACACACACCTTTATTTTTGTTACAAAAATGTGTTCATTGAAGAAAAATGTGAGAGGACAGGAAATTATAGAGAAGGAAACACCCCACCTTCACATTCCATCTTTCAAGGATGATCTTTGGGGCCGGCCCCGTGGCCGAGTGGTTAACTTCACGTGCTCCGCTTCGGTGGCCCGGGGTGTCGCCATTTCAAATCTTGGGCGCGGACAGGGCACTTCTCATCAAGCCATGCTGAGGCGGCGTCCCACATGCCACAATTGGAAGGACTCACAACGAAAAATACACAGCCATGTACCAGGGGGCTTTGGGGATAAAAAGGGAAAAA